CCTGCTCGGATATTATAAGAACTTTATCTATATCCCCTTTATTGATTCCTTTCACCCACTTAAATACTTCTGCTCCTTATCTCCCACTGTCTTACAAAGGATGCAGGTTTAGTTTTCTTTAACCTGTCCTGATGTGGAAGGTTTCTGATCCCGGAATCATTTTGTCATTCTTCGCTTTGCGACTCTGGTGAATTAATAATCATTTCTATATGAGGCATAGAACTGAACCGCATAATCGAGTGCGGCCTGACTATGAATATGGTTGCAATAAGACCTCTGCACTCTTGTACTTACTTCTAGATATAAAACCCAATACTCTGTTTGCCTTATTTCGAACATTAACGCACTGTTTTCTAGGCCGTAGGTCCAGGCTTACAAGTACCCCTAGGTCTCTTTCACAAGTCGACTTCTCTAGGTTGATGTTGTTAAGGCTGTATACATTGACAGTATTTGTTCTTCCAATATTCAGTACGCTGCACTTGCTGGTGTTGAATTACATTTGCCATTTTTCAGACCACTCCTGCAGTTTATTTAGATCCTCCTGTAGTGCATTTGCATCCTGCCATGAGTAACAAGAGTAACAACAACACATCATAAAGGAAAGAAGGATAATTGAAAACAAAGAGTAACTGGTAACTCTCTCTCTCTCTCTCTCTCTTTTTCTTTCTTTATCTCTCTCTCTCTCTCTCTTTTTCTTTCTTTATCTCTCTCTCTCTCTCTCTCTTTCTTTATCTCTCCCTCACTATCTCTCTCTCTCTATCTCTCCCTCACTATCTCTCTCTCACTCTCTCTCTCTATCTCTCCCTCGCTATTTCACTATCTCTCTCTCTCACTATCTCTCTCATTATCTCTCCCTCACTATCTCTCTCTCTATCTCTCCCTCGCTATCTCACTATCTCTCTCTCTCTCTCTCATCATCTCTCTCTCACTATCTCTCCCTCACTATCTCTCTCATTATCTCTCCCTCGCTATCTCTCTCTCTCTCTCACTATCTCTCTCATCATCTCTCCCTCACTATCTCTCCCTCATTATCTCTCCCTCACTATCTCTCCCTCATTATCTCTCCCTCACTGTCTCTCTCCCACACAGGTGTTGAAGGTCAGCAGGTAGCCTTTATTATCCAGGTAATAACACATGCGCCACTCAGGTAATTCTCACGGTCACCCCCGCAACGGTACCAGATGGGCCCTAGTCCTAACAGGCCCTTAGTCCTATTGGGCCCCAAACTGTTCTAGGCCTTGTCCTAATGGACCCTAACTTAACCTAGACCTTGTCCTAATGGACCCTAACCTAACCTAGTCCTTGTCCTAATGGGCCCTAACTTAACCTAGACCTTGTCCTAATGGGCCCTAACTTAACCTAGGCCTTGTCCTAATGGGCCCTAACCTTACCTCGTCCTTGTCCTAATGGGCCCTAACTTAACCTAGGCCTTGTCCTAATGGGCCCTAACCTTACCTCGTCCTTGTCATAATGGGCCCTAACCTAGGCCTTGTCCTAATGGGCCCTAACCTTACCTCGTCCTTGTCATAATGGGCCCTAACCTAGGCCTTGTCCTAATGGGCCCTAACCTTACCTCGTCCTTGTCATAATGGGCCCTAACCTAGGCCTTGTCCTAATGGGCCCTAACCTTACCTCGTCCTTGTCATAATGGGCCCTAACCTAGGCCTTTGTCCTAATGGGCCCCAACCTTACCTCGTCCTTGTCATAATGGGCCCTGGCCTTGTCCTAATGGGCCCTAACCTTACCTCGTCCTGTCATAATGGGCCCTAACCTAGCCCTTGTCCTATGGGCCCTAACCTTACCTCGTCCTTGTTCTAATGGGCCCTAACTTTTACCAATTTAAAACATCCCGATTTAATGATTCACTTACCGATTTAAAACATCCCGATTTAATGATTCACTTACCGATTTAAAACATCCCGATTTAATGATTCACTTACCGATTTAAAAACATCCCGATTTAATGATTCACTTACCGATTTAAAACATCCCGATTTAATGATTCACTGCCGATTTAAAAACATCCTGATTTATGGACCTTTAAACATTCCTACATGAAGGGTTGTTGATATGAACGTGTACACATGGCGTGTACAGATGACTAGATACGTACATAGGTGCTTGGGTACATATGGGTAGGTACATGAGCGAGGTGTACATATGTGCATGAGTGTGTATACATGTCTGAGGGTACATATGAGTGAGGTGTACATATGTGTATGGGTATACATATGTGTATGGTGTGTTTACATGTGTGGGGTGTGTATACAGGTACGTGGGTGTGTATACATGTACGTGGGTGTGTATACATGTGCGTGGGTGTGTATACATGTGCGTGGGTGTGTATACATGTACGTGGGTGTGTATACATATTCGTGGGTGTGTGTATACATGTGCGTGGGGTGTATACATGTACGGGGTGTGTTTACATGTGCGGTGTGTATCCATGTACGTGGGTGTGTTTACATGTGCGTGTGGGTGTGTATACATGTACGGGTGTGTTTATGTGCGTGGGTGTGTATGCATGTACGTGGGTGTGTTTACATGTGCGTGGGGTGTGTATACATGTACGTGGGTGTGTTTACATGTGTGTGTGTATATATGCGTGGGGTGTGTATACATGTACGTGGGGTGTATACATATGCGGGGTGTGTATATATGTACGTGGGTGTGTATACATATGCGTAAGTGCGTATACATGTACGTGGGTGTGTGTGTATAGAACATAAGAAATAAGGAGTCTGCAATAGGCCGGTTGGCCTGTGCATGGCAGCTCCTGTCGAGAGTTACTACCACTCTATCATCCATGAATCTATCTAGCCTCCTTTTGAAACCTTCCAGCGTTCCGCACTTGCTACAAAGTTGGTGCTTGTTCCACTCGTCCACCAATCCTATTTGTGAACCAGTTCCTTCCTATCTCCCTCCTAAACCTAAACTATCCAACTTAAATCCGTTGCTCCGAGTCCTATCCTGCTCGGATATTATAAGAACTTTATCTATATCCCTTTATTGATTCCTTTCACCCACTTAAATACTTCTATCGTATCTCCCCGCACTCTTTCGTCTTTCTAGGAAAGCAAGTTTAGTTTCTTTAACCTATCCTGATATGGAAGTTTCTAAGTCCCGGAATCATTTTCGTCATTCTTCGCTGCACCGACTCTAGTGAATTGATATCCATTCTATAATAAGGTAAGAAGAACTGAACCGCATTATCGAGGTGCCTGACTAGCGTAAGATATAGTTGCAAAAGACCTCTGCACTCTTATTACTTACACTTCTAGATATAAACCCAATACTCTGTTTGCCTTATTTCGAACATTAACACACTGTTTTCAGGCCGTAGGTCCGGGCTTATAAGTACCCCTAGGTCTCTTTCACAAGTCGACTTCTCTAGGTTGATGTTGTTAAGGCTATACATTGAGTATTTGTTCTTCCAATATTCAGTACCACTTGCTGGTGTTGAATTTCATTTGCCATTTTCAGACCACCCCTGCAGTTTATTTAGATCCTCCTGTAGTGCATTTCATCCTGCCCTGGATTAATCTGCCGCCCTATTTTGGTGTCATCCGCAAACTTGCTTATGTCACTGCTGATCCCAGTATCTAGATCGTTTATGTAGATTATGAACAAGAGGGGCCTAGTACTGACCCCGGGGAACCCCACTGGTTACACGGCCCCACTCAGATTTAACACCATCTACGCTGACCCTCTGTGTTCTATCGGTGAGCCATGATTTTATCCATTAAAACTTCCCTCGATACCATGAGCCTTAACTTTTCTCAGAAGCCTGATGCGGTACTCTGTTAAATGCTTTGCTAAAGTCTAAGTAAATATCATCGAAATTTTCGTCATTATCTACTACCCCGAAGACTTTTCCTAAAAACATTAGCAGATTTGTTAGACAAGATTTTCCCTTTGTAAACCCATGTTGAGAGTCGTAGATTAATTTGCTTTTCTAAATGCGATCAGATGCTATCTGCTATAATTGATTCAAGAAATTTCCCCACTACGACGTCAAACCGATCGGCCGGTAATTTGACGCTGATGCTCTGTCTCCCTTTTGAATATAGGGTACTACATTTGCCTGTTTCCACAAGTCAACTCCGTGTTCAATGATTTTGTAAATAAATTTACGAGGGTCCGCTAATCTGTTCCCTACACTCTTTCAAGACTCGAGGGAAAATTACACCGGCCCTGGGGATTTTGTCTTCTTTAGTTTATTTATCTTCTTAAGAACATCCTCTTTTGTGTGTGTGTATACGTGCATGGGTGTGTATACATGTGTGCGTGTGTATACATGTGCATGGCTGTATCCACATTTCTGGGGTGCATATATGCATAGGCGTGTACAGGTGTGTGTGTGTGTGTGTGTGCACATGTACGTGAGATTGCCGTCCCAGAGAGTGTAAACAGAGAGGAGGTACACAAAACGTGACCTCATATGTGCGTGGAGGTGTATTCAAAATGTACACATGGTCGTACATGATCGTGTGTACAAGAGTTGCATACACAATTGTTTGGAGGGAGTGTACATAGTGGGTGGGTGGGTGAGGGTGGGTGGGGTGGGTCTGTGGGGAGGGTGGATAACGGCGGGTGAGAGGAGGGATGGGTGGGGTGTGAGGGTGGGTGGGCGTCTGAGGGTGAGTGGGTGGGTGGGTGAGGGTGGGTGGGTGGGTCTGTGGGTGAGGGTGGATAACGGCGGTGAGAGGAGGGAGGGCGTGTGAGGGGTGGGGGTGAGGGGGTGGGGTCTGAGGGTGAGGAGTGGGTGGTGAGGGTTGGGTCACTACCTGCCTCCTCACCCAAGTCACCACCCCCCAACCACACACACACACACACATACACACACACACACACACACACACACACACACACACACACACACACACACACACACACAACTTCTAAGAAATTTTGAGCCGAAATAACACCAAAAAATCGAATTTATTTTTAAAATCTAGTTTATTTTAATCGAAAATTGAAATAAAACTTGATATTCTTACCTCCATTAGTGACTGCGGTTGTGAGGGCAATTATCGCTATCATATGATGTATTAGCGACATCTTGTATGGACACTGGTTAGTTAATGAGACTTGTTATGATGGGGAGAGAATGCGGGCACAACTCTCTGGCGCACCTGTTCTACCACTGACTCTCCCCCGCATCTCTCTGGGGGTAGAGGGGGGAGCTGCATGAAATGGCCAATGTTGGTAATTATCCACAAACAATGATAAGAGGGGAGGGATGTGTTTATTTTCCACAGATAACTTTAATCACTTAAACTAACCTAAATACAATTATTATTATATATATATTTATGTTTTTTATTTCTAGTTGATTCTATCTTGTTAATATGAAAAGATAAATAAATTTTAAAGGGTCGGGGTTCTGTTCGTGGTAAATTTTCCAACAATAAGTCCGCTCTCCACCGTGCTGGCCTCACCGCCATTACCAAACGTCCCTAAAAAATATTATTTGTACAATAATCATAACATCTGGCTATTATTTCCGTCAGTATTTATCAAACATTATGAACAAAATTATTATATATACAACTAACAATAAGTATTATAGTTAAATAAACGTAAATTGTTAAATAAATAAAATCATTGATAACAGCGTAACTTCAAACAATACTGGAGTGGTCAGTATAATATTGTAATTACTTATTGAACTTAATAAGGCTTTAAACGGACTTATAGTTAATAGGTATAATAAACCAAGGTAGAAACTAATAGAACTTTATAGTGGGTTAATATATTTAGGGAAGATGTTTTTTGTTTTTGTTTTTTAGGAGAACTAATCCTCTCTCTCTCTCTCATACACACGGACATACTCTTATTAAATAGTATACCGATAAATTTACCGATATATAATACATATCGGGTAAACCTAACGATATTATACCGATATATTTAACCATGTAAGATCATATACCGATATTATTTAACCCTATGAAACATAATACCGATATACCACTATATAATTCTTCCGATATTAAAATGAAAAACGTATCATTATACAGCTAAATATGATGACTTAACCCTTGAGTATGATGATTTAACCCTTGAGTATGATGACTTAACCCCTTGAGTATGATGACTTAACCCTTGAGTATGATGACTTAACCCTTGAGTATGATGACTTAACCCCTTGAGTATGATGACTTAACCCTTGAGTATGATGATTTAACCTTGAGTGATGACTTAACCCTTGAGCATGATGATTTAACCCTGAGTATGATGATTTAACCCCTTGAGTATGATGACTTAACCCCTTGAGTATGATGACTAACCCTTGAGTATGATGATTTAACCCCTTGGAGTATGATGATCTAACCCCTGAGTATGATGACTAAGCCCTGAGTATGATGACTTAACCCCTTGAGTATGATGACTTAACCCTTGAGTGATGATGATTTAACCCCTTGAGTATGATGATTTAACCCTTGAGTATGATGACTTAACCCCTTGAGTATGATGATTTAAACCCTTGAGTATGAGATCTAACCCCTTGAGTATGATGACTTAACCCCTTGAGTATGATGATTTAACCCTTGAGTATGATGACTTAACCCTTGAGTATGACTTGACCCCTTGAGTATGATGACTTAACCCCTTGAGTATGATGACTTAACCCCTTGAGTATGACTCCACCCCTGAGTATGATGACTTAACCCTTGAGTATGATGACTTAACCCCTTGAGTATGACTTAACCCCTTGAGTATGATGACTTAACCCTTGAGTATGATGACTTAACCCCCTTGAGTATGATGACTTAACCCTTGAGTATGATGACTTAACCCCTTGAGTATGATGACTTAACCCCTTCAGTATGATGACTTAACCCTTTCAGTATGATGACTTAACCCTTCAGTATGATGACTTAACCCCTTCAGTATGATGACTTAACCCTTCAGTATGATGACTTAACCCCTTCAGTATGATGACTGACCCCTTCAGTATGATGACTTAACCCTTCAGTATGATGATTTAACCCCTTCAGTATGATGACTTAACCCCTTCAGTATGATGACTTAACCCCTTGAGTATGATGACTTAAACCTTCAGTATGATGACTTAACCCCTTGAGTATGATGACTTAACCCCTTGAGTATGATGACTTAACCCCTTGAGTATGATGACTTAAACCCTTCAGTATGATGACTTAACCCCTTCAGTATGACTTAACCCCTTCAGTATGATGACTTAACCCCTTCAGTATGATGACTTAACCCCTTCAGTATGATGACTTAACCCTTCAGTATGATGACTTAACCCCTTCAGTATGATGACTTAACCCTTCAGTATGATGACTTAACCCTTCAGTATGATGACTTAACCCTTCAGTATGATGACTTAACCCCTTCAGTATGATGACAACCCTTGAGTAAGATGACTTAACCTTTGAGTATGATGACTTAACCCCTTGAGTATGATGACTTAACCCCTTGAGTATGATGACTTAACCCTGAGTATGATGACTTAACCCCTTGAGTATGATGACTTAACCCCTTGAGTACGATGACTTAACCCCTTGAGTATGATGACTTAACCCTTGAGTATGATGACTTAACCCCTTGAGTATGATGACTAACCCTTGAGTATGATGATTTAACCCCTAGAGTATGATGACTTAACCCCTTGAGTACGATGATTTAACACTTGATGCCTTTGACTTAATCTCCTGAGTACTATTAATCTTTACTCCTGAGTGCGATGACCTTAAGTACGATGACTTAACCCCTTGAGTATGATGACTTGACCTGAGTACAATGACTTAACACCTTGAGTGCATGATGTTTCTACGCCAGACTCGCGGAGGTGATCTCCGAACAGAAGCAGCAGCCCACAAGTTATGTTACAGCCTGGATGAGATGTCGACTGTCCTTCTCTCTCCTTAGGTCGGCTTTGCTCTGCCTCAGGGGAACGAGAGCTTCTGCCCCAAAGCCGACAACAGTTGCAGATATTGACTATGAGGCAACAGTCACTGAATGCCTCATAGATCTGCGGCTCAACACAGCTAGGATAGTTACTTATGTATTAGGATATTTAATATTAAGGTAATAAAATGGTGGCGAAGGTGTGGCTATTGGGGGAGGCTGGAGGCCATTAAAAAGTAGTAGTGGTAGTATTAAAAATAATATTAGTAGTAGTAATAGGAGTAGTAATAATAATAACAATAATAATAATAATAATAATGATAATACCACAACAACAAGGAAATAATTGTACATTTATTACATACCAAAATCTACACTTGCATACAACAACGAAAATAAGACCCAGATTACGAAAGGATATTAACGCGTCACAACCGACTCAAAATTTGGCGCGCACGAGAAAGGTAAACATTGACGCTCCGGGCAAGAGGGGCGTAGAGCGGCATGCGCCCGGGTGAGAGGTGAAATGAACTTGTCGGCGCCACAGACTGAACTAAATTTAGAATGAATGAGAGAGTCTTAGCTTTGTGATGGCGCGGCTTATTCCTGTGTTGCCGCCCACCACCACTACTACTACTACTGAACTTATGAGCAATAATCTGAACAGATATTTTTCAACAGTCACCACAGAAAATTTAAACATGATACCCGAGGCACCGACTCTATACAGAGATAGTGAAGAAAATAGATTAAGTGAGATAGTAGTGACTAGTAACGATGTTAGTAAGCAAAGAGACAAACTAAAGCCTAATAAGTCACCAGGTCCCGATGAGATATTTGCCAGAGTATTAAAGGAATGTAAGGAAGAGCTTAGTATGCCCTTAGCAAAGTTGTTTAACATGTCCTTAGAAACGGGTGTAGTGCCAGATTCCTGGAGGACAGCGAATGTAATACCGATTTTCAAGAAGGGAGATTGATCACTATACTCTAACTACCGCCCAATCAGTCTAACATCAATTGTAGGCAAATTACTGGAAGCAATCATTTCCCGGGAAATTTTGGTTTCAAGGTTGCCTGCACCCGAAACACTGTACAGTAGTTAGGACGTGGAGTGTTTGGTGTGGCCGTCTAGTGAGCCTCAAACTGGCCGACGGGAGGACAGTCCCCCCGTCACCAGGACCTCCCACAGTAGCTGCCCCCTCACGACCGAGGCCCTGGCACTGTACGATTTAAACGGAGCTGGCGTTCTGGTACACACACACACACACACACACACACTACTACTACTACTACTTTGCTGTTACTAGGAAATGAGTATGACGATCATACAGCGATAAGACAATGATATGAGTTATTAGGATGTCACCTTTGATAGGACCGGCAGGGTCTTCCACAGATGTTGCACATGTGGAGGGCTACATCTAGTGAGGGAGGGGTTTCGGCAGCATCTTTCCGGCGTTGGCGTTTGTCTGCCCTGTTATGAAGTCGGGCACTCGAAAGTATTGACACCTCATGGTGCTCCTCCAAGCGTTACGGTGTGGAGTAATCGTCTCCCGGTGAGGGGGTCGATTTGGCACCTTTTTCAGGTTTGTCTTAAGACTATCCTTATACCTCTCAGTTGCCCGCCAGTGTTACGTTTACTATTCGTTATGACTGTAAAGTAACTGCTCTGGTAGTCTATAGTCGTCCATGGGGGTAACATGGCCAGTCCAGGTAGTTGTTCGGATAATGGTAGCCCTCGATGCCCCTACAGTTGGTGTCTGCGAGAATACTGGCATATATTATAGGTCGCATTCAGTGTAAGCGACAAGGGTGAGGTCGCTCATACTGAAGTTCAGCAATGGAAGCTGCCGACACCTTTGTTCCTGCCTGGAGTCGTCTGATGTTGAAAAAACCCTTCACCCGGTACTGGATGTTCACCCCAGCTAAATTGACACTGGCACGAGTAAGGAAGGCAGCCAAGAAAACGGACAATAGAGTTGGTGCCAGTACACACCCTTGTTTAAACCCCGTTTGGATGGGGAAAAACCCAGACTGGGTGCCATTGTATAGGACACTGCCGTTCATGCCATCGTGGAGTTGTCTCAGAATTGCGATGAATTTTGGTGGGCAGCCAAAACGGCTGAGGATCCGCCAGAGGGCTTCCCTGTTGACTGAGTCGAAGGTCTTGGTTAGGTCGAGCAAGGACATGTACAGGTCATGACACTGTTCCCTGCACTTTTCCTGTATCTGG